ATCCTCGTTGGGAGTCACCCAGCAGATAAATGGCATTTAAAGCCTGCGCTGAGCTGGGGGGGCTGAGGCGTTTCGTGGTTAGATGGTGGGTTTGAGGGCTGGGTGGGGGCTCCTTTTACTTTACACCCACTTTACAACCACAGCAGGGCTGTGGTTGGGAGGACTTCGGCACTCCTCAGTTTTATTTGCTGTCTGTATGTACTACAAGATCTCAGTTGTGGGCCGTCTGTCCGACAGAAAACCCCACGCTACAGCCTCAGGGCTGTGAAGCTTAACGTATGGGAAAGACCCCGTTCTGCATCTTTTATCCGTAAGATTTAAACGCCTCGTTAGAAAAGTTACGAGTTTAGAGGTCAGTGAGGAATTCCAGGCCAGACTAAATTGTTTGCCTTATACATTTAAAACCCTGGAAAATGTTCCAGAAGAGTTGGAATGGATAAAATTTTCCTTTTATAAAGTCACCTCTTCTGTTACTTATTTCTTCTATATTTTGATAAACTTCTTGAAAATGTAGCATTCCTAATGAACTCCAAGGAGCTTTCTCAGATGACCTCTCCACAGGACCAGAACAAGATGAGAAACACAATTATTTTGATTTGAGCGCTTTTGTGAAGAGTTGAACAATAAGACAAATGGAACAACCATTAATAAATCATTAATGCATCTTCTTGCATTTCCCACTTAGTAGTAGATGTAAATTAGTGTTGGTTGTGGTCTTAAATGATAAAATCCATTTCTTCAAAAAAGAAAACAAAAAGAACCCCTCAGATTTATTTTACTTAAACTGTAGGGGTCTTAAGTATATATAGTTGTTTGAGTTTTGACAAACATACTCATGTAACTATCACCCAAATCAATGGATAGAACATCTCTATCCCCGATAAAAACTTTTGTGCCCTCTTCCATGCTCTCACCAGAAGGCAACCAATCTTCCATTTCTAGCGATTCCTTTTGCCTGTTCTTGAGTTTCATATAAACAAAATCCTACTGTTAAGTACTCTTTTATACCTGCATTCTTTTGCTCAACATAATGTTTTGAGATACATCTGTTTTGTAGCATGTTTCAGTAGTTTGTTTTTTAAAAAAAATTTTACTGCTGAGTAGTATTTCATTCTATGAATATACCACTATTCTTCTGTTGACAGACACTTGGGCTGTTTCCAGTTTGGGGCTATTACAAACATGATAAAAAGCAGTTTTGAATATTTGTCTGTTTTCTTGATTCATGTTTTCTTTCCTCTTAGGCAAATACCTAGGAACAGAATTGTTGGGTCTTAGGGTAGATGTATATTTAACTTTTTACTGTCTTACTGTTTGCCAGAGTGGCCGTTCCATTTTTCATTCCCACCAACAGCCTAAGGGAATTCCAGGTCCTCCCAATCTTCACCAAGACTGGGTGTTATCAGTCTTTTTAACTTGAGCTAGTCTAAGGAGTGTGTAAAGGTATTTCATGGTGACTTTAACTTGCATTTCTGATGAGGAATGTTAGGCACCTTTTCATGTACTAACTACCGATTTGTATGCCTTCTTTTGTGACCTGTCTTTTCAATTCTGTTGCCCAATATCAGCTCTTTAAACTATTGTTGAGAATATGGCCACATCAGGCAATATTCTGTTGACTGACCATATTCCTTTATAGAAGCTGAACCTGGCTGCTTGGCTCAGTGTTTGAGCATTGACCTATGAACCAGGAGATTGCAGTTTGATTCCAGGTCAGGGCACATGCCTGGGTTGTAGGCTAGATTCCTATTAGGGGTGTGCAGGAGGCAGCCAATCAGATTCTCTCTCATCATTTAAGTTTCTCTCTCTCCCTCTTCCTTCCTTTCTGAAATCAATAAAAATATATTTTAAGCCGAAACCGGTTTGCCTCAGTGGTAGAGCGTCGGCCTGCAGACTGAAGGGTCCCGGGTTCGATTCCGGTCAAGGCATGTACCCGAGTTGCGGGCACATCCCCAGTAGGGAGTGTGCAAGAGGCAGCTGGTCGATGTTTCTCTCTCATCGACGCTTCTAGCTCTCTATCCTTCTCCCTTCCTCTCTGTAAAAAATCAATAAAATATATATATATTAAAAAAAAAAAAATATATATATATATATATATATATTTTTTTTTTAAATAGAATCTGAAGATTGTGCAGATGTTGAGACAGCACTGGCCAAAATAAGATAGCTAGGTAAGAGCATTAGATTTACTATATCTTCCCAAACAGTTTAAATTTCTCAGGACAATTAAAAAAAGCAACAATTTCTTTTTTGTTATTGTTAATAGAGCCTCATTACCATCCTTCACTGATGCTCAGTGCTACACGTAATCTAACATGTTTACAATTAACTTCTTACAAAATCCTTATTAAGAACAGTTAGGAGTGCTTTAGCCCGTAATTAAAAACATTATTTTCAAAGTGCCAATTCTGTCCGGGTTGGTGGTATAGTGGTGAGCATAGCTGCCTTTCAAAGTGCCAATTCTATTAAAGGAGCTTCCAAAAACGAATAAAATAACAATAGCACTTACCATGTACTGGGAATCATTCTCAGTTTTACATGCGTATTAATAACCCATTTAGTCTTCAGTGCTCAAAATGATCTGGTAGATATTGTACATGAGGAAACTCAGGTATGGAGAGGTAAAATAACTTGCTCACAGTCACACAAATAAATGGTAGCACTAGGATTCAAGTCTAGGTATTTTGGCTCTAGAGTATCAGACTATCAACATGCAGAGAAGATACTTTTTCTGAAAGATGTACTTCATTGAATAAAACCTAACAGAAATGGAATGATGTAAAAGTGGCAGGCAGAGTAGGAACTTCCATGCAAGTACTTCTCATGTATCACTCACATGCTCAATATAAAGCAGCTCAAAATTTTAAAACTATTTGAACTTTAATTCTAATTTTCCTTATAGCCAATCAGTAATATTTTTCCTCTAAATATTTTTTTTTAATAAGGGTTTACTAAACATGAAAATTTTCTAATTTTCTTTTCAGAGCATTACCTGAAGTCAGTCCTCGGCAGTAACTCAAAAAGCAACAAAGCATTTAACAAATAGTTACCTTTCTTATCAGATGTCTGAAGTATATAAACTAATTGCCCGTACAAGCACTTGTAACAGTGCTCCCAAATAAGCCAATACAACTTCTAAAGAGAATGTTTTGGGAACAATGATTGATGGCACCGCTGGCATTTGGTGGGTGGGGACTAGAGAAGTTCAAAGTCTTACAACATGTGGGACAATCTCACATGAAGAAACATAGTTCAGCATACCTTGTGACTTTTCAATGCCCATTCATGTAGTAGAAAAATCAGTTTATGATGATCTGAACCTAGAACTTAATTTTTTTTATACAGTATAAAGTACTTTTTTGCATAGCCTTAAAATTCATTGTTGCCAAACATGCAACTAACATGTGAATCAAGATTGTACATTTGTTCAGAACTTTACCTTACCATGTACGATCCACCAATTTGGGAAAAGTCTTATCACCAATAGAAATGTTTGTATTTCTGAATCACAACAGTCTATATGGAATTATCACTTACACACAGTGTTCAGATGTAATTATACCCAAGCATTTACATACTGAATATAAATTATAAATTAATTTCCTCTTATTTCTATTCTAAGTAAAATTATTATATACATTTTAATGTCACTTCAGGATAGTAAAGGGGACATTTTTTATAAAAAGGAAGTAATGGGTTTGATAGGGTCAATTCACTAACGCAGAAGCCAGCCACAATAGAAGGCAACTTGCAGAGGTGGGAAATTAAATAGCTAAAGATGACAAATGTTCCCAATACACTTGTAAAATAAAATTCAACACTGTTTAGCCACAAGGAAAGAAAACCTGTTCAATGCTTAGCTTCTGCGTTGGATGTCTTAATTAGATGTCACAGCTTGTTCTTTTGGCTGCAACTTTCAGATGCTATGCAGGTGAGCTGATACCATTCCAGGGCGGGTAGGGTCAGTGCTTCTTGTCCAGTCCCTCCTCCTTTTCTATCCTCAGAGGATGATGTGTAATAGAAACAAAGCTTTGTTAGGTGGCGGACAGGCAGTTTTGCTGTGGAAAATCAATTTACCACCACCATCCTCATTTCATTTATTTACATACTGTCACACTAAAATAACTCAATCAGTTTATTAATATCGAGTTTAAGGTTGTGCATAAAACTGCAATAATGACAATTTAAATGAAGTAAACAGAATAAACTGTTTATTAAAACACTGTGTAATAAACTTTTTTTGATCCGATGCTATAGTGGTAACATTTCCCCCTTATTAACAGTTCACCTGAAACACAGTAAAATTATACCATAATCTAATTAAAACTTGGGAAATGCCCCTGTTCTTCCCCACTGAATGACTGAACAGTGAGGTGTGCAGACCTAGGTTTTTTTGATGAGTCAATGATAGAGGACCATAACCTAAAAGACAAGCAAAATCCCCTATGTCCAAAGATGAAATCTTATTTACCCTGCTCTCTGGCGCAAACTTAAAATTGTCATATCAAATAAATATTTAATTAATCACCCCCTTGCCTGTCTAAAATAAATATCAGGAACAAATTAAGGATAAGAGTTGGGTTTTAAACTGCATTTTATTTATTACTATAACATTTTTTTTTTAAACTGAGCTATCTTAAGCATGTAAAAGTTCTCTTCCAAAAGCAACTGTTTCCACCGCCCCTTAGATATCATTAAGTAAATTATAAAGGTCATTCAATGTGTAGTTCTCTCTTCCTTTATAGCACTTCTGAGCAGTGTTTCACATACCGCAGAGATAGGAAAGACCATCTTTAATAAATTATCTTCTTAATGGTAGAGAACTTCTGAAAATAAAACTGACAAAATGCTAACCCAAGGCCTCTGGTGAGTCCTCAAGGACCAAAGATCCATCTCCTATTTGAAGACTTAGTCCTCGGAGTATCCTGGCCTGTAGGGCACTTGATAAGGCGATGCCCCAGGGATCTGGACAAACGCACTAAGAAGCCCTTTCGCCACTCTCACTTGCCGATTCTTTGGACCACCCAGTCTTGCTGGCAGAGAGGGCAGCGATTGTTCTGTTTCACCCACAGGGACATGCAGCAGTTGTGGAAGGAATGATTACATTCTCCCCAGACCACTAAGAGGAAAAAGAAAAGATTATTTGACATTAGACATTTCAATTTAAATGACCAAGCTCAAATATATAGCTTATTTTATATTATGAATAATAAACATTGTTCATAATCTCAAACAGAAATGATAAGTTGGTCAAAATAATTTTTCTACCTGTAAAGAAACAGACACTTACATGTGTGAGGTTTGTGCTTAGGGATGTCCCACCACAGCTCTAGAATCTGAGAATGATGTGGTGGCCCCAGTCCCTGCACAGCTCCATACTATACAGCTGTCCTCCTGAAGTTAGGAGATTAAAGGACTTGAGTCTTCCTTAGATCCCAGACCTGAGTTCATGACTTTGGAGATGTTCTGGGCTTTATTTTACCGAAAAACATCCTCCTGGTTTTTATTAAGATATGAGTTTTAAATGTTTTCAAGTTCATAAGTAGGCTATTATGAATAGATGACATGCTTCTAATTATTCTCAGCTGTGCATCTGCTGAGTTGTTTCCTAGAAATGCTGGTAATTGTGTTGTCATCAATAAGCAGTGCAATTCCTTATGTGACAATGAAATTTTCAAAGTGGCTGGCTGGAAAGAGAGGTCTCTTTGTGATCAAAGAAAGATAACTTATACCTCACAATTACCAAATTAATGTGTTGTTTTTTAACAAACAGCATGAAAAAAAAATTTTTTTAAACCAAGGGAAATCACCCACAATCTGGACTACAATCTCAAATTGAGCTTCATCTGTCCCTTGCTTGACCATCTGAGCTATATGATAACAGAACAATTAAGACACAGGAACAAAAAAGAAAAAAAAAAAAAAAAGCTTATGAAAATAGGCTGCAGAAGGTAGAAAGCAAGAATCATTGTAGTGATTCAGAAGGAAGAAACAGGGTTAGGTCAAAATGGCATAGCTCATTAATTAGAAGCTATATATAGCCCTGGCCAGGGGGCTCAGTTGGGAGCATCGTCTTGTATACCAAAAGATTTTGGGTTCGATTCCTGGTCAGGGCACATACCTAGGTTTCAGGTTCAATTCCTGGTATATGGGAAGTAATGATATTTCTTTCTTACATTGATGTTTCTCTTTCTCTCCCTCCATCCCTCTCTTAAAAAATCAATAAAAACATATCCTATAAACCACACCAGCACAAAGTACAAAGTTAATTTTTCATTCTAGGAAAAATGTTTAAACACTTAAATAAAGCAATCTAGAAGTGACGATTTCAAGAACTGGAACATATAAACCTTTGAACTGCTTACAACATTTAGTCAAGACAACTTTTGTAGCCGAAACCGGTTTGGCTCAGCGGTAGAGTGTCGGTCTGCGGACTGAAAGGTCTCGGGTTCGATTCCGGTCAAGGGCATATACCTTGGTTGCGGGCACATCCCCAGTGGGGCAGCTGGTCGATGTTTCTCTCTCATCATTGTTTCTAGCTCTCTATCTCTCTCCCTTCCTCTCTGTAAAAAATCAATAAAAATACATTAAAAAAAGAAAAGAAAATCAATAAAATATATTAAAAAAAAGACAACTTTTGTAGCCCCAGACTATAAGGAAAACTTAATAGACATATATATATATATTATATTTCTAAAATATTATATTTCTATAAAATATTATATTTCTAAAAAAAGTCTTAAAATTTTTCTCTATCAGTTAAACACTATATCTTAAGAGTACTGAAAACTTAAATGCTTTAGTAGAATGAAACGCTACCAAAACTAACATATTCAAAATTTTAATGATGCTTTGGCAAATTCCTTCTTATATAATTTTCTTAACAAAAGAGGATTATTCATTTTTTTGATTATCAAAATATTTACTATGCCCATATCTGGAATACTTATATAACTAATTCTTCTTAATTATAGGCAATAAGAAAACACCTTGCAGATGAATTCTTAAGGCCCTTTGAGAACCAACACATTTTATATTAATAATGTATCACTGCTTTACAGTTTATTTTTGTGTATTGGTAAAGTCAATCTTAATAGCAAATTCAAACATTCCCACTGAGAGAAAACCTTCAGTTGAAAAAGCATGAGAATGAAATTACAACATACCAACACAATCCTCTTGTTTGTTTTCAGCTTGACATCTAAGACAGGCATCTAAAAGTAAACAAACAGCAATTCTCATTTTGATGATCAAAATGCAATTTTTAAAAACCAGACACTTAAAAGTCAAATAAAAGCCCAAAGATTAGAGATGGAGATTAAAGGCTCATACTATTAATTTCTCATCTGAACAAAACTGTTTAAACAGGAATAAAGTAGAAGGCACTGGACCAATCTACTTCTGACCAGGAGCAATTTTCCCAGGGTTACTGAACCCTCTATTTTTACAAGCTCTGATGAAAAGATGTCCTGCCAGTGGATGCAACCACTAGAGAACACCCCAGTGTATTAGAAGTTATTATAAGCTCATTGGGCATGCTCATATAGCTCAATTTTAGGGGTAGTTTATTTTCCAGACACTCTTTTAAATAAACTATGCACATGGGGATATAAACTATAGCATAGGGAATGGCCAATACTATAATAACTATGTATGGTGCCAGGTGGGTACTGGAACTATGGGGAAACACTTTGGAAAGTATATTGTTATCTAACCACTATGCTGCTGTACAAAATGTAATACTGAATGTGAAGTATAATTGAATAAAATTTTAAAAATAAATGAGCCATGCACATATATTGGCATTTGCTTATACAGACATAAAGAAAATTTAGAAGAATACCCAAGAAACCAATAATAGGGTTTATTGGAGGGGACTGAGTGGGAAGGAATTTTATTGTATACTGCCTTAAAATTTTGAATTATGTGATTATATAATCTACTTAAACATTAAAATTAACTAAAAATACTTTCTGAAAATTAGGAGTTTTTCTTCTTCTAATAAAATGCTTCCTTTACAAATTAAGTCTGAGCCCAACAATGGCAAAGTATTTTAATATATTACTTGGGAGTAAATACCAGGAATGGGAAGCTTAAGTAAACTAGGTTGCTTGATGAAGAAGGCAATACAGAAAATATATATTTTTGGTGAAGGAGGTAAAATAGATTATTTTAGGGACCAATTAAATGAATTCATTCACTAGCTGGAAGAGGAGTCAAAGTTGGGTAAAGGAAGTTCAAACCAACAGAAAAAAAAAGTTTTAACTGGAAAAAAATAATTCAGTAAAAATAGACACACGGTGGAGCCGATGCCTGTTCTTCTTACACTGGATTATACACAGGCACTTGTTTGCTTCTCTGCATGCTTTTACCCTAAAAAAACACACCACCTTGGCCTCTGCCTTGTGGACTAAAAACAACACTGCCGCCTAAGACTTTCTTCAACTCCACAATTACTAAGTATCTACTCTGCACAAGGAGTTATATGCACAGGGGACACAGAGAGGACTAAGTCTGGATGCCTGGTCTCCACAGCAAATAGGGAGACAGACAGGCAAACAACAAAGTATCTTAAGGATCCTGATGTAATGGTGAAGAGGAGGCTCTTGTTCTGTGCGATCACAGAATTAGAGTTTGTGATCCCAGCTGCCTCTTTCACAAATGAGGAAAAGAAGGCCCCAAAAGGCTGTGTCAACTGTCCAAGATAACACAGCCATGCAGGGTTACTCTGGCTCTTATAACTTGGCAGTACAAGCTAAAGTATTCCTCTCTTCCTCAGCAGCGTGGACACAGAGTGTTAACCACATCTGAACAGGCTGACAGGCAAATCTTGGATAAAGAAGTCATAATAGATCAGTTGTGTATGAGATGAATTCCAAATATTAAGGAAATAGGATTAAGTGGGCTCTTTTTGTAGGATCTAGAAGTCTGAATTACGCTTATAGTTTTGATTTAGATGATCAAAAACTGACGGAAGTAGATAAAAATTCCCACAGTTTCAGATTTTAAAAAGTTTCTTTTGATGACGTTGCTAATATCTGAAACAGCACATTTCTAAGCAGTACAATAACACTAACACCTTTTAGAATGATGCCAGGGTAAGGATGGGAAGTCTGAAAAACAAACTTCCTCCTGCTGTCAAGCTGACCTCTCAGTGGATTTTAACACCTCATAAACAAAACACAAAGGTCTAGTCCAGAACACTCTCCTGAACTCAAAGTATAGCTGTTGTAACCGGCAACGTTAATCCACAATAGCAGAATACTTGCTATAATTAGACAGTCAATGAGAAGGGGATTTTACAGCCCATACTTTGACTTAGTTTAAATATCACACATACAGTTCATTTGTTGCAAGATACCAACCAATACTTTAATTCCATACTTCCACTTCCTGGTTGAATTTTTTTTCTTTGGGGAGAAGGATAAAATGCCTTTTTAGGAACATTCTTCTTTTTAAACTAAAGAAAATTTAGGTGACAGTATTTTCAGCAAAGCCTATCTTGCTAAAGATCAAAAAAATGAAGTCACCTATGTAACTTAAAAATGCCACCCAAAGTGGAAAATCTGATTCTAGTTCTTCAGGCGTTAAGTTATGCGTAAGGGGGCTGGACTGCAGGCCAATAAACTAGGTACTTCCAAACCTAAATATGCAAAATGAGTGGATCATGTCTGAAATCAAGCTCTTTCGAAAGTAAAACATAAAAAAAAAAATATTTGGATCCCACTGTTTGAAATCCTCTAAAACAAGTTCTTATCCATAGAAGACCAGAGGGCATACTAAAGAGAGTGTGTACACTAAGAAATCTCTTGATGCTGCTAGACGTTTTCATCTCGCAAGAAGGGAGAGCAATTCTCTTTTGTTTTCTCCAATTCTCTCATTTTTCAGGGCAAGACACCAAGTTTTAAAAATGATAGAAATCTCCGTTCCCCTCACCCACCCTCAAGCAACAACACGTCAAGAAGCTCTCAGCTTAGTTTTCAATGCTCTGTTTAAACACGGAACCTGCATTAAACAGCACCTCGTTTCCAAGGTGGCCTGAGATCTTAAAAGCAGAAACCACTCCCAGCAACTCGGGGTGAGGTTGTTATGAGGGAGGCTTCACTCGGGCCAGTATTTTTCATTCACAGCTCCCTAGGAGGAAGGCAAACTGATGTGTAAAAGCGGGTTCTCCATCCACACACTGAGGCCTGGGGCATCTCTACCACAGGAAGGGCTGGCCGGCGAGAAGATTAAGATCTGGATGCCTCTAAGTCCAGAGCTTCACGTTACTCCATTCCCACAAAACGGAAAAATAAAAATATTCTCCGACCACCACCCCGGGCTCCCTCTGCAGCCGGGCCCTCCGGACCGGGACGCCGGGGCGGCTGCAGCGGGCCCGCCGGCGCCACGGCCGGGCCCCTCTCCTTCCCCGCAGGGGCCCGGCTCTCAGGGGCGGGCGGAGGGCGGCCTGTTCGGGGGTGGACGATGGACCGGAGCATCACGCGGGGGTGTGACCCCGAACCGGTGACGTGCTGGGCGGCCCCGGGGCCTCGGCGGACCGCTATTCAGGGCCGGGGCTGGGGCCCGGCGCCCTAATAACCGAGTCGGTTGCTCCCAGGTCCGGACAAACCACACAGATGTATGTCCTCGGTCACACCCATCGCTCCCCGAGATGACCTTCCTCCCTCCACCCGCTGCCCGTCCCCCTCGCCAGGACCCGGCCCCGGGCGCTGGGGCCCCGCGGCCCCGGCGGGCGGCGGCTACAGCCCCGGCTGCCTCCCGGCTCCTCGGCTCTCCCGCCGCCGCCGCCGCCGCCCCTCCGGGCAGCGGGCTCTCCGGGCCTCACCCCCCGCCAGCCCCAGGGGCCGGCCCCGCGGAGGCCGCAGCGCGGCCCCGGCCTCGCGTGCAGCGCTTACCCATCACCTGGACCCTGCAGATGGCGCACGTATCGCACTCCACGTCCCAGCTCCACATGGCCACGGCGTTCCACTTCTTGAGGGAGAACATCTTGTCGCCTCCCGACTTGGAGCCCGCGCCCCCGGAGTGAGAGGACAGGGCGCAGGGCTCGTCGCCGTCTTCCACGTCGGCCATGGCGGCGGCGGCGGCGCGGAGACGTTGGCTCGGGGAAGGCCGGCGGCTATGGTGGCTCCGCGAGGCCGCCCGGCGGACCACAGCGCCGCCCGCAGGCCGCCGGCCGCCGCGGAGCCGGCCGCCACGGGCGCCGCCCGCGATTGGCTGGCGCGGTCCGTGACGTCACCTGACGCCGGCGCCCGGCCGCCGTTGGCCCCGCCCCCCACCCCGTCACGTGCCGGGCGGCCTGGAGGCCTGAGGGTTGGAGTGTGGCCGCGGCCGCGCTGGGCCGTGTTCTGTCGCGATGGCCGGGGCACCTCGTGCAGGAAACGCGTGTCCTGCTTTCGGCCTTCGTGAGACGTGCGGCTTTCAGAAATTACCGTGTGAACACATCCGCTTGTTTCCCCACCGCAATGCAGACTCCCTAAGGGCAGGGACCAGTCTGTCAGCATTCAGTCCTCCGGATCTAAAACTCGCCCGGCCACAGAAGCCCCGGGCATTTGTAGAGGGGCCGGATGACCTTCCCGACCTGCCATGTTTGTCTCAGGAGCCTTTTACACTCAAACTTTACTAGGACCTCAAGGGGCTTTTGATTGTGGAGAATATATGTTAAGAAATTAAAAACATTAAATAAATATATATATACATCATATACATACATATATACAAATATATACATATACATACATATATATGTACTTTAAAGAGAGGAAAGGGGAGAGAGAGAAACATTGATGAGAGAGAAGCATAGATTGGTTGTCTCTTGCACTCACCCTGACCAGGGGTGGAACCCACAACCTGGGTATGTGCTCCGACCAGGAATTAAACTCACCACCTTTTTGGTGTACAGGATGATGGATGCTCCAACCAACAGAGCCACATCGAGCAGGGCAATGTATTAATTCATTAAAAAAATAACAACAATAAATTCATTACAAATTATCTTAAGAGCAATGACCTCGCAAATCATGTAGCTTCAGGAAAATACTGGGCACTGAGAGAGAGAGAGAGAGAGAGAGAGAGAGAGAGAGAGAGAGAGAGAGAGAGAGAAAGCTCTGAGTATTGTTATGTAAATATCTTGACCTCTGAAAAGTTCCCAGGAACCCTGGGGACCACTCTTAGTGAATCTTTAATTTAGCTTAACCTCTTCCCTTTTTATGTAGGAGGAATGAGGTCCAGAGAAGTAATGATAGTTTTGAAGTCAGGCGTCTATTGCTAGCCCAGGGACACTCTGTCCACTGAGCCAAACCAGCTAGGGCTCGATTAGTTTTCGATATGAATTTTTTACATATACTACTCTGTAGCCCGCTTTTTTATTTTATTTAATAGTACTATGACATCTGTCCACATAAACACTTATATATAGCCACATTATTCTTTTTTAATGGCTATGTAGCATTCCACCACATACTTTTCCTATGATTTATTGCCCTGAGAACCCTTTGAGACACATTTAATTGTTTCTAATGTATAATAAACAGTGCTGCATATATTTCCTTGCACACGTGTCGGAGTATATCTGTAAAACAAATTTCTAGGAATAGAATGCCTGGGTCAGAAGCTGTCTATTTTTCATCTTGATAGACATTGCCAAAAGATAGAACATAGACTTGACACTCCCAACCATGGGTATTAGTGGCAAATTTCAAAAGAGGTTGTTTTTAAAGCAGGAATAAGGTCTCAGAAGGCTTCACACACTGGACATATAAATGAGAAAGGTTTGTTATATTATTTCAACTCTGGAACTCTAATGTTTACTTGTAATGCATGCGGTCTTATCTTCCTAGCTAGATGCTAAGAGCCTCAAGATGGACATAATTTATTATGCCCAACCTCACCTCCACATTAGTTTGGTTCCATGGATTTGCTAGCACTTATTAGATTTGTACATGGAAAAATGACAGTTTTTTTTTCTTTTTTTTCTTTTTTCTAGTTCAAAATCGAGCGGTCTTAAGTCTTCTTCCTTCCCCCCTCCCCCCCCCCCCCAAGAAACATGTACATTTATTTTAAATCAGTTTGGTCCATTCTGCTTTTCTTGTGTAGCTGTTCAAAGTGAAATGCCTGTGTTCACTCAATTCTGACATCAACACTAATAACAGCCACTGGTTTATTTTTGAGCATGCACTATGAAACAGGCATTGTCCTAAATTCTTGGCATGTGCCATCTCATTCAAGCTTACCAAATGAGAAAGCTAGCATTCTTATCTGTCTTACCTTAGGGGAAAGTGAGGCACAAAGTTAACTGACTTGCCCAAGGTCATATGTTAAAAGTAACAGGTTTTCACAGAGAATTCTATTTTTTTTTTTAATTCTGAGGTCTGTGGTTCTCATTCCTGTACCACATTATCATGTCATATAAAATTCAACTTAATCTAATTTACATCTGTGCATTGATCAACCATACCTCACCATTTCCCCTGGAGCTGTCTGAGATCTGAATTGGGGGTAGAGTGACTAGACGTTTCCTCATTTGTATAAGATCCCTGTTTGGGGGATATTATCTTTTAGAAAGTGGTTATTATTTCCAAACATTCCTATTGTTCCCAACTACAGATATATTTATGAAAGAAGACTCTGAGATAAAAGTCAAGACTTTCTTCAAATTATAACTTTCGCATGTACAAAAGAAAAAGCCCTAGAGAAGAATCTCACCATTTTTTTTTCCTAAGGTTTACTGTGAAACCCAAATTTTAGAAAATGACAAGCATGATAGCATTAAAACTATTTTGAACTTTCACACAACAGTCTTATCAAACTTTAGAACTTGAAAGAGAATTGGTTATAGTGAAAAATATTATCATATAACAAGCAATATCTTTATATGTGTGTCTCACTGGCCATGGAAATAGCATCCATAAGGTAACATGGCATCCACATTCAGTGTTTAACCTGTAAAAGAATGAACAAGAAATCATAAATTAAAAAAAAAAGTTTTTTTTTAATTTGTGTGCGTGCAATCACCATTCATTAGAATGGAATGATGGCTTAGAGGACTGTTAACTTAGAACCAAAATTCTCACCATAGTATCAAGTGCAAAATCTGCTGTAATAGTCTGCCAAGTTTAGTGTGCATGGTTTATACAGCGCCCCCTGGTGGCTGTAATTATACAGCGCCCCCTGGTGGCTGTAACTAACAAACATCCACAAACATCCAAGAGCATACCTTTTTCTTCCTTTTACCGGTAACCTTAGATTTATTGCTGCTTTTCCAAATAGATCTGAAGGTGTCTGAAGAGATCTGAGGGGTGACTGTAACCTTTAAGACTGGGAGTTTACCTGAGAGGGGGAAGAACATAGAAGTAAATGGATAGGGTACCTCACACTCTCCATTTGATGGACTGTCACAGGCTTCTGAAAGGGCCCTTCCTCTACATTATTTTTTTTTTTAATAATATGTTTTTATTGATTTTAGAGAGAAAGAATGGAGAGAGAGAGAGAGATCAGCTGCCTCCTGCATACCCCCACTGGGGATTGAGCAACCGATGCATGGAATAACTCTCAACCAACTGAGCCACCCCAGCCAGGGCTCCCACATTCTTATTAACTGGGAAACTTTCATCACACTTAATACCCTTTCCCTATATCTTCTTGATGTGAGTAACCAGTGACAATTTATTTCTGTAATAACTCCCACTGGTCCTCTCTTTTCCCACTGTCTGTGTATTTTACCTGATGGTTGTGGTAGCCTTCTAACTGGACTTCCTAACCCCATTATCTCTGTAACAAAGCCTCCATAAGGACCCAAAAGCATAGAGTTCAGAGAGCTTCTAGGATGGGAATCAGGATGTTTCCACATGCCAGCAACCAGGCCCAACTCCAAGAGGACACTGTTTGGAATCGCACCCGAGATATTATTGTTTGTTGATTTGTATCCTTTAATATCTTGTGTGATAAACTGGAAATCTGGTGAGTAAACTGGCTTCCTGAGTCCTGTGAGGGGCTCTAGCAAATTAACTAAACCCAGTGAGGGGTCATGGGAACCCCTGATTTATAACCAGCCCATCAGAAGCACAGGTGACAATCTGGTCCTGCAACTGGCTTCTGAAGGGGAGGGCAGTCTTGGGGGACAGAGCCCTCACCACGTGGAGCCTGATGCTGATCAGGGCGGCAGTGTCGGGACACCCGCTGGTGTGGATAGCGCAGCAGTCCGGGATGAGTGGATGCGGACAGGTAGCAGGGACACAGACTGTCTTTCTGGCTCTCAGCGCTCCAAGTATGTCAATAGCAGCCATTTCTCCCAGGGCATTGTTTCCAAGGTCAAGTTCCTTCAAGTGGGCAGAGTATCGGATCAGGCTGATCAAAGAAAATGACAAAACAAAATGGCGTTGCTCCAAGCATGGTTATTCAGAGAAACTCACTCTGGTTATTTTGGAGTATGATCTTTCTTTTTAGGTCCTCTTCCCCCTCCACCACCCGCCTTCTCCTCCGCCACCCCCCCAACCCTCCCCCCACCCCCGCTCCCAAAGATAATGCACTGACTCAGTTTGAAACTAGACATCCTGAATCCATTCCCCCCCCCCCCCCCCAATTTAACCTCTAGTTTGGATGTCTATTCTAAGTAAGTTGGTAGGATAAGGATTTTTGGTTGCCTTAAATCATTTATTTATTTATTTATTTATTTATTTATTTATTTATTTAAAATGATAGTATTGTCAGGGCTTCCCAGTCTTATAGATTCTACACAACAGTAAAATATTAAACAAACAAAACAAAACAAAAAACTTGGGAGGACCGACAAAGATCAGCTTGGCAAATTTTATTATGTCCAATACATTACAACTCTTACCTAGCAACACTATAAAAGAACAAACATTTTTACATGAAACTAGGAAGGCCATAATCTTTAAAAACAAACAAAATCATGCTTTTATTGATTTTTAGAGAGAGGCAAAGGGAGAGACAGAAACATAGATCAGTTGCCTCTTGCACGCCCCTCACTGGGGATGGAGCCTGCAGCCCGGGGGTGTGCCCTGACTGGGTATGGAAGCAGTGATCCCTTGGTGCATGGGTCGACACTCAAT